TGGTATCATGCTGAATCAAACATATAAGTGAGGTGAACCTTGAAAATAGAGTGGGCAATTCACGGCAAGTTCGATATACAACTACTATCTACTGAGTTACTGTACCCAAAAATGCTGTGCTTCATGTTTTTCATGTTTTGGAGTTGGGGTATAGGATTGAAAGATTTGGTTCTCTGAGCTGAGATGTTGAGATTGAGTTTGCTAGGCGGAGGAGGCTTCGGCCAGGGGGCGGGGCCCTTGGTTTGTCCAAATTGGTCCCCTTGCAAGATTGGTGGTTGCCCTGTTGCTTCACTCTCGTTGGTGATTGCTCCGCTGCCTGCCTTGTGGAAGACATCCTCAACACCATGCCAAACAGAAGGCCTGCATCCCTGCAACATGTAGGGACTTCTCCCTTGAGTCCCGGTGCCGGCCCTGGACTTGATCTTCCCCTTGAGTCCTTCGTGTCGTGTGATCACCCTTCAGAGCGGTCGGCGGCCCGAACTTGGATCTTCACGCGGCTGGTGAACGTGTTCCCACTGTGGTGAACGTGTATATAGGCTTTGCCAACCAGACTCTGACTGAGAGTTGAGCTGTCCATATATCCAGTGAGGAAGCACTAGAAGCGATAGCTTTATGTTCCCTCGTGTCACAGAATTCTGCTGAGGTGTTAGTACCCTCAAACCTGCTGGAACAGTGGCTTGGAGCTTCTTGGTCAGCATGGCGCCAACATGGAGTGGGGCAACAAAAGCAGGCCCACCCAAAACGCACTGGTCAAAGGAGACGTGAACTTGGACAATGCTTTTGAGCCCCAAACTAGAAAAATTGTTATATATAATGTACAGGCAACCTGTACGTTCCATCGGTTGGGGGGAGCACCCAGTAGCCATGAGAACGTCCTTTTCATCCATGCTTTCGACTCAAACCTGCCCCAGGGAACACCCAGACGCTAGTAGCTAGTCATTTAGCATCACATGTGTGCAGATGCCCACTGCAGGGGTTTTCCAAACCCTCATGACCTGGAGAGAAACGATGCCCGTGGTCGTTTGGTTGGGGGTTTCTGTTTGTTCTCCCCCTGCGGCGCTAACAGTCAACTAAGGAAATTCAAAAGTTCACCGCTGGCACGATGAAGGCCGGTTGGTTCACGGCACGATGTGGACGTTGGTTCTGGCATGGTATGGCCAGACCTGATCATGTTGGACTGGTCAATCTTTTCTCCACGGTTGCAAGTTTGGCCTCCAGCTGACTTCGGTGACCGAAGATGGCTGATCAAACGTGAGGAAGTAAGCAGCCGGGTGCACTGGCGACGCGAAAAGGACTGCGTCATGGGACATGGCCCCGCCCCACAAAAAATACAATGTATATATATATATATGTGACAGTATATGTGAATATATGGATATGTATTGATATGTGTAAATAGATGCATGTGTATATATATATGCACACATAGGGCCACCTTGTTTGAAAAAGCAGAGGTGGTGCAGATGTTGGTCCAACTCTGAATTGATATGAGACAATGAGAAAGGGCTTCTACATGTAGTGCAGAGTTGTGGTCAAGACAGTGCGGAGAGTCCCAGATACACCATGATACCACGGCTTTTGATCCAAAGAATCCCCTAGAGCACGTGCCTCACCAGACCTCAGAAGCATTCATATGACTCAAAAGCCAGGATACTAATTATTGTAGACATTGCTGTACACATGTATACCTGTACATACGCATATACATACGCATACAAAATACTTCCCACAAAAAGCCAATTGTAGCGCCATTCCTTTGTTGGTGGGTTGTCCCAGTATATCACTTTTCCATACAGTTCACTTGCTTTCACCCGTGAGCCTCCCCAGGTGATTGCCATCAAAACGGTGGCCAATCTCAAGTCCCTCACTGTGGCACAGCTTTGCGACGCAGTTACCGGGTCGCACAACAATCGGAGGGCGGTGTGGATTGGGAAGCTGATTTTGCCAATGGAGTAGCAGCCAAGGTATCATCTAACCAAATTTGTTTCACGATGTCATGGGTTTAGTGGCAATTACCATGAAACCATTAAGTTATTTTTTCTCTCAGTCACTCTGACTCCCCCAAAACATGGAAGCAAACATGCTTCCTTGGAAGCACTCTACCTGACTTCCTTTTTGGCAACCAGGCGGTGAACTGCACTTCCGTGTGAAGTCTTCCACTCAGCCAGCGGAAGACAGGCCATGGCCATGTTGACCAGGTCTGGACCAAAGAGGTGCAAGAACTGGACCGAAGTGTCAGTGGAATCCGTATGATCCGTGCAGAAGTGCCTGATCCATGTGCTTCATGTATGTATATATGTATATGTGTATTTTCAGTGTCTCACTAGAATCTCATTAGACTTGCTCAGTATAATTAGTATAGTTACCCTAGTTTGGGGGTAGGCTTGAAGGATACTTTTCATTGGACCCTCGTCTACATGATTGTGGCATTTGTCCTACCCCAACGACTGATTGAATCCTTCAAAACCAGGCTATTTTTGCACCAGTTCCACTGCCATGTTTCACTTCCGCGAAAAACCAAACAGAAAATGAACGAGATATGGCCGAGTTTTAGGTGCATCGGGGAGTATTGTTTGCCAAAACTATGTCCATGCAGATTCCATGCTAGCTGCTAGCTTAAACTGGAGGAACATGTCATCAAGATCTCAGCACCTTCCCAATTAATGATGAGCAATCCTGATCCTCATCCTCCTTCCGCATCCAAGAGAACTCCCAACTCTCGGATCCTGCACTGCCATTCTACAAAACACGTGTCCGGCACCAGTTTCACAGATTCCACACAAACTCAGGCCTTGGTGCTTTGCTCTTATCGCCTCTTGTACTCGAAGGTCTACCGCCACCGTCTCCAGCAGCTGGCCGGCCTCGCCCTCGCCGTCGAGACCACCGACCAAGCCACGACTGAGACCGGCCCAGTGGATCTGCGGAGCCTGCGGCGGAACACGCGGCGGTTTCGCGAAGAGACTTGGGCAGAGAGAAGTGACCACGACGTGCACATGGGCATACATATATATATATATAGTATACATAAACTTACTATATTTATACATTATACCTATATAGGTCTATAGTTATGGAGTTATGGATATGGCTCCAGGGTTCACCTGGAGCCCTGGTCCATCATGCGGCTTGACCTCCTATGCAGATCAACCAAGATATATTGGTTTGGACCCACAGCCTTATATTTGAGCCAAACTTCGGGGTGACAGGGAGTGGCATGTAAAACAAATTACACCGAGCAGAGGAAGAGGCTGCTGAAGGACTTGTTTCCGACCTGCAGGAGATTTGGGTAATGTTTGATTCACTGTATTTGTGAGGTTTGGACCCAGCGTTGGTTTGGGAGTCAAGGAGTCAAGCTGTTCCGAGCACCACTCTTGCAACCCGAAGACATGAAAACTTCCCACCGGATTTCACCCGGGACTGGGAAAGCGCGCTCACAATGCTACTAGTAGCTTCTTGTTACTAGTAGCGATGGATGGGATGGCCTCCACCCTTAAAAAGATAGCCTCCACCTAGTAGGGTCCTTGCTACTAAATGAGTCATGAGAACACAATCAAGTGGATCAACTGGCAGGCCTGTGACCATTATCCATGAGAAAACGATGACGTCGGTCACCGTACTCAGGGATTGCGGAGAGCTCTTCACAGGAAACATCCTTGGACTACTGCAACCTAACAGATTGTCGGGCGCGGATATATTAGGTCAATCTTCAGGGGTGGATTTTTGTGGACTTGTTTCATGTGTTTGTTTGATTGTTCTTATTCCGTTTCTTCTTCAAGTCATTACGAACATTTTGTGCTTCTGGCATCTCAATGAAACAATCCAGATGCACCCAGATGCGATTGTCAATGACCTGACCTTCTGCTTTGTGCAGAAATGATCATCGCACGAAAGAAGGCCCCCGAGCTCACAACTGCCAACCATTTATTCAACATCAGCCAATGAAAACTGCACCTCATCATGGGTTTCAAACACTTGGAGAAATACCCTGCTAGTTAAACATTTTCGACTTGGAAAACTCACAGCTGCTCCCTAAGTCCTAGTAGCCAAGTGGTGAATTTGTTCAGTTGCGGGCAGTGCGCAGTCATTGGGTATATCGATCGGAGTCGAGATCTCTTGTTTGCCAATCCAAGGATGTGAGGTCTTTGCTTTGGGGTGACTTGGAGATGTCCCGCAACAGCAGGGCGAAAAGATGTGGTTGACTTTGTAGTGGTCGTAATTAGCGGTGGAGGGAGCAGAAGCAGTAGTAAGTATATATACATATATACACTAGCAGTAGTGGCAGCCATCGTAGTAGTTGTTGTATTATTATGAGTCTTGCTTTTGTCCAAGAAAGTGGTGTATATTGTAATGATTATGTTCTTTGTTTTGCTACTCTTCTTCATCTAGATTTTAGAACAGAGTCAGGGCTTCCTTGTAAGGGATTTGTTTGGAGAAAGGGGTCCAAATCCAGTCTAGACCAGAAGCCTGTCAGCCGGTATTGCAAGGGATCAATGGTCATAAGAAGTCTAATGTATCGGAGATGTGTGAAGGCTGTTGCGTTCGAAGACCGGCTGAAACATTGGCTTTTGCGGTCAGGAACTGGAAGAACTAGGGGACTTGGATGTACACAACCCAGCCCGCAACATGTGTTTCCGGGCTTTGTGGCGAGGCCACAGGCCAAAAGCCACAAGCCGCAGAAGACGAAAGCCGCCGATGCTGCGTTGCTGAGGTGAGGAGATCAATGATCCCTCACAGCTCAGCTTCCCTGTGCTGGAGCAGCTTTGGTGGAGGAGAATCGTTTTGGATGAGTTCCATGAGTTGGAGGCGACCCAGAAAGGCTGACATGTTGAATTTACAGCTCTCTTACACCGCTCCGAAATCAGTGTGCATGGCTGCGATGGCTGTTTGAATTGCTAGGATGTAGATTCGTAGATTCGTATAGATTGCTGCTCTGAGTTTGGCATACGGCGACGGCTGTGACCAGATCGAGTTCCTGCAAGCTTTTTTCGTCGCGCCAGGCCATGGGAAACACGGCCCAGTTCGAGTCCCTGCGCAGCATCCATGCGCACTATCGCTGGGGACTCACGGGGACGCCTCCGACACGAGACTTGTCGCAGGTGGCAGAGCCTTTTCGGACGGAAGCCGAGAAAGCGGCGGAGATGTTGGTGGGGTCCAAGTGCACTTGGGGGATGCTGGCATATAATTCATGTGATTTCACTTGCTGCAAACGTGTTTATGTGTGGCCATAGACTCTCCAATATATATATATATACAGTTATAGCTGTAGGCTGTATAGTTATTCAGACTCTCCTAAATAGACATCCTTGTGGGAGGTAGCATGTTGCGTGATGTTGCTTTGTTTTACGCCTAGACTGCGCAGGCCCTTGACAGTAGTTCTTGCTGTGCATGCCAAGATAGCTTGACCTTTCGAGCAAAGCGATCTGAATCTGATCAAACAAAAACTGCTCTCAATTGGGTTCTACTTGCTAATGTCAATTGCCGACTAGAACTCCTTTATAGTCAGCAACGGACGAAGAATGAAAAAAGAACATGTTCACATCCTCCATTTTGCACGAAGGCCCTAAGTGCCTCAATCACCAAGCAAGTGCATCTAAGTGTACCAGTCCAATGGGGATGAGTCAAAACATGTCAAAACCTGGAGACCGAACGCCATGTAGCTTAGTTTTTTCTTGACCTTAAAGGCAGGTGTTACCAAGGTATCCTGGTGCCATGTCCCACACTCCAATGTCTTTGTCATTCGCTCCCTCGCCAGGTGGCGACGCTCGCCCAGATCTTCCACTTGGGGCATTTGCCGCTGGAGGAGAAGCCTCCAAGCGCCTACCGTACAGACCTGGCTCAGGAGACCGAGAAAGAACGTCCAAAGGTGGTTGGTTTACATGCAATTATAGAAAGACATGTTGAATCTCTCGAGGCCTTTTTGATGTTGTGAGACTTTCTGGAGGCCTCTTGCCTGATGTCATGGACTCATAGGTGCATTTTGGACGCGTAGCCTATAGCAAAGACGGATTCTTGGATGGATTCTAGTGTGGACATGTGCGGAGGCGGCCTTCTCAATCTTCTCAAAGTATAGCCGTATAGCCTAGGCACATGGTGAGGTGCCAGCAAATTCTCACCTCTTGCCAGGCATTGGTATTCAATCCGTACGGAACAAATTGTTAACACATTATTGCAGCAAATGGATCGCCAGGTAACCCAACACTAACATGCCGATGTTGTGTACTTTTTTTGAGCCAGGCGGTGAGTGTGCCCTGCTTTTAACACAATCGGGTTTTGTTTTTCTCAAGCTCACATTCACTACCATGACCCGCTGGATGCTCTGATTTGGCAGATCCAAGCTCATCTTAAGGACACCTCCCCCACCTGGACACAACATGAGCGAACACATTGGGGGATGACCCATTTGGTGACCAATTTCCAGGAGATGTGCCAACACTTCTTGGATCACTTCGCGCGCCAGAATACCAGCGAAGAGGTCACCGTCGATGTGGAGCGTGGGGGACGTTCGTCAGTTCTGGTTGTGGAATGTTCCTCAATGGAACCCATTGGGCACCGTGAAGAGTGGCAGAAGGGTGAAAGTTGAGATGCTTGGAGTTGTTGCTTCTGATGGTAATGGGAGAGCCTTGGAATTGATCAATGTGACGTGGACCATGTTTATTTTTTAAAATTTGTATACCTCTTTTTTTGGCATATTGCGCGGTTGTGAGGCAGCGTATCTCTCCATCACAATGCTCTCTCCATCTAAACCCTTAGCCCTTATAAACGCTAAACCGCTAAACTTTCAATCCACAAGGCAGGCCCACTTTTTGGTGAGCAGAGCACACACCTTAAGGCCTCTTGCCCATATGCATCACGCTCCTTCAGGCGGTTGCGTTGGATGTTTTTGCAGGTGACACCGGTGCCATTGAAGGAGCACATCTTGGTTGTGGATCCAACTCCAGAGGATCTGCTTTGGAAGATGGGGTGGGGATGGGAGTGGCTTTCAAAGGAAAGATCCGGTTCGGGAAAGAAGCTTGACCCTAGAGTCCTAGAGCCCTAAAGCTCAGTGACATTCATTGAGCTCATTTGTTGGGTGTTTGTTCTATCAAACCTCCAGCACATAATATAGAGTTGCCGTTGCCATTGTAAGCCATTGAAAACCCATGCCCTTTTGAGTCAATAAGTCAGGTTCAGGTTGGCCCACCTGGCAGTATAGGTATGCCGCAAAGTAAAGTAGCAGCCAATCAACGGGTGGCGGCACTCGCGTTCTTTGTTCCTGCAGGTCATTGCTGGTGCTAAGGATGCAAGTCAATTTTCTGAAAAGGGCTGCGAACGTAACAGCACCACACTCCTTATGTTTTGTTTATTTGCAGTGCATTCATTGCGGATGGAATGCAACTGGATTTGGAGCGCATGCTACGCCCTCGGGTTTACAGTCCCAACATGTCACAACGACGGCCATCCGGAAAGCTACCTATGACTACTGTGGCACTGGTTTTGGCCTTGACCCAGGTGACCAAGATTCCCGGGTGACGTTTCTGATTGGATTCCCAGTTGCATCGGTGTTTCTCTTTGCACGTGACGCCTGCGTTGATCGAATGCTTCTGAGAAAGTAACCGTTAAGTAACCCAAGGCACTTGGTTCCAAGCCCGTCACTGGTACTGGCTGCTTCCAATTCCGCAGCTGCTCAGACCCAGCTGGTCGTTTTGAAAACGCGTGTTCTCACATGCTGTGAACCCCAGTGGCACAGATTGATCGAAGTTGGGACAGAAGCAGGTAGTGACACTACTCCTTAGAGGAACTACTCCTTAGCAATTTCACCAATGGTTCTGGTATGGTCCTCTGGGTGCTTTGCAAATAGTTCTGTTGACTCCTTGCCCCACACCTGCAAAATAATTGCGTGGTTGTAGATGGTTTTATGTATCTCAGGCATCAGGTGGAACAATGTTGCATGGTGGTTTGGTAATTCCAGGTGCTGCTGTTTGCCCTTGTGATTTTCTTCCACCAAGTGGGCTCCACCAACATCGCCAGGAGCGTGCCATCTATTTGCAATGCTCCCGCGATGTCTCAGATGCTTCTGGCGCACTCACGGATGAAGACAGGGCTGCCCCTTGGCTGACAACATCACCGTGGGAGTTCATGGGATTTTCTGGCCATGATTGCGGTGCCTCCCAAGATATTTGTTAATTTAGTATAGACCCCCCCCCCCTCTTGGGTGCATAGAATGTCAACCGTCACAGCCCGAGAGGTTGTCAGGGTGTCTAAGCGTGTCAAGCGGGGCAGGCTCACGAACTTGGGGTCCTTCTTCTAAGCATGAACTGCAAAGAACAGACCTCGAAGTTAAAAGATTCTCGGACAATTCCGTGAGTGGAGTAAGCCTTCCTTCTGGCAATCCGCATTTTGCTCCGTCTCATTCAATAATCAAACCTACCTGGATCTACTGTAGCTGGTGGTTTCCATTTAGCTTGGAGGCTTTGTTGCATGCGGCGGAGGCAATGCCAATACAAGACCCTTGTGGCTTCTTGATAAAACCCCACAAAATCTATAGAGGCCTAGACGCAGTGGAGGGCCTCATGACGTTCCACGTTCCGACGCTGGCAACGTGGAGGGCCTCCACCGTCACCAGGGCGTCACAAGACGCTGGCTGGGTGTAGAACCACTTGTTGCTTGAGGAATGTGACCAGGGCTCCGTTTCTGTGATTCTTTATTCATTTTTTGGGGGGGCATTATTGATCGATCGATTCACATTGACTTTGCATTGTTTCCCGAGTATATAGTTGTGGTTTCTGAGGAACGCCTCATCAAGCTTTGCTCCCATTTCGCGGCCTACTGTGGCCTCGCAACCGCCGCAGCCGACGCGACGGGCGAATGCCATCGCATCATCTCCACCAAGCAGGAGCGGCGCGTTTGGGCTGTGGCATGTGGAAATGATCCGCTTGGTGTTTTCTCTTGTCACTTGTCAAGCTTGGTTAGGAGCTTGGTGCCCTTCTTTGTGGTAGGACTTGAGACCCTATGGCTGGCTATTCGAGGGGTATTTATATAGTATTTGCCATTGAATTGGTAAACCTCCATTTGCAAGTCAAGGGCCTTTTGCTTGAAATCTCATGTCATGCGAGAAGAGTGTTTGGAGGTTGTAATACCCGCAGACAAAATCAGCATTGTTGGAAAAGATGTTTTTCTTTGCATGGCAGCTAGGACGCAGTGAGCCATGAATAAGTATAGAACGAGGCCGGAGAATGGTAGTCGTTACGTGGACAAAGACACGTCACACACGTCCCAAAGCCAGGAAGAATGGCGGGAAGTTTGAGAATCGGGCAGTGTCCAATGCGACGCATCCGATCGCTTTCACTTTCACGGATCACTTGCTAGGCCGTCCGGCTTTGTTTGGAATGGGCACGTGCCCAGTTGCTCCTGCATCCATCCTCTAAGGAGCATGCCAAAAAGACCTACAACGTGGCCTTGCAACGGGCCGTCCAGTTGGAACTGCTTTGGCAGAGGCCAGTGGTGTGGACTGAAGATCAAAAATCTGAAAGCTGCCTTTCTCAGCAGGGCCAGGACAGGTTTGACCAAGTGCACCTGGGTCTTCTGTTGAAAGCATTGCTGCATGGGACCCGACCACGAGACAGTCCACTAAGCCATGACCTATATGTCCGACATCCAGAGGGCCATGGATCTGACAGCCATCCCCAGATGTTTCTCCGTGGTGCACCACCTGCAGAAAGTGCACCACCTGCAGAGACTCCGAGACCGGGCTAGTTGACATGCCACCCCATCCATGACCACTATAGAAGTCGCTAAAAGATGGTCACTATTTTGGGAAAGGCCTTTACTGACCGCGATCACCCAAGAAATTAAGATGTAGCCTCCTGGCAGCCTCCTGGATTGAATCCTTTCCATGTGAAGGATCCTCAGAACGGATCGCGGGATAGCCGGGACTCAGCCCGCTGTTGCACACCAAGCGCGCTCCGTAGTTGTTAATTGTAAAGGCTCGTGGCAACCAATTTCAGTGTGATTCCGGAATCCAGACCCTGATGTCCTTAATGCAAGGGAAACTGATGGTCACCCTTTGTTTTCCGGTCCATCCAAGGTTTTTGCAAGAGCACTCCTAGTTGATTCCAAGTCTGGGTTGTTTGATGTGTGACCACATGATCTACCGGAATTCTTTGGATGATGCCATTGGTCTCACTTCTGCTCACCTCTGCATCTCGTACAGGTTGGACGCTGCGCAGTATCGCCACTCGGATCAGCAGGACGTTTGCCGCTCGCTTGGCGTCGATTCGGCCGAACTGGGAGCTGCGGGAGCTGAAGGCGATGCCAAGGTGGCGGAGGCCATCCGGACTGGGCCAGCCATGATGTTGTTTTTTCTCTTCAGTGCAGTGTAGAAGCCGTTAAGTCAGCTGTAAACTGCCCGGACCTCCCAGTTTTGGATTGGTATATTTTCCCTACCGGGGAACCTGAACCCGACACGGAGCCGTTGGGAACTGAGAGCAAAAGGATATATACATACAAAAGTACATACGAATCATACGAGAGACCGCTTGAACCTAGCATTCCAATCATTTCCAATGCACATGATTGCAGATCCACAAAAGCAATGTTCCTTAAACTGAGATGGGGAAATGGGCATTTGGAAGCCTTGGAAAGGCGGTGTTCACCGCCCTGACCACAGCGGCAGGTGGGCACCTGGACTTTGAGCCGTTCGTTTTCTTCTCCGGTGGCCGCAGGGCAGGAGGTGGTGGTGGAAACTGACACCTTGAGCCTCAAAAGGGGGTGAGAGGGAGGGAGATTTTACAAAAGTGGAAGGTCTACTGGCTGGGCTTTGGAAGAGTTCCATTGTGACTCGTTGAAAGGACCATCGAAAAGAAGTGCCATGACGTAGCAGCAAACACCCCAGACAGCCCAGGTTTGGGACTAGTGGACTTCCATTTGAGTTGTGAGAAGAGCTGGACAATTGCTTGTCCGGACCTTGCCAGCCACGCCTTTTTGAAGGTTTGTGTTGGTTTCTTCCCTCCACTGGTGAAAAATTCATCCTGTACTACTGTACACGGGCCCAGCTGTGAGCTGCACCGAGGTCTCCCTTGCGGCAACTGTTCTGCTGGAGGCCTGTTTTTTGCCTACGCTATGCTGGAGGGCCTCCCCTAGAACGCAAGTACTTATACGGTTTGTACAGAGGGTTTTATCCCACAACCAGCCGATGTGCGATCAGAAGTTCTAATACCCTAACAGCCGTGTCCCTGACGATTTTCGCTCATAGTTTGCAGGATGGAGCTAGCCGCCACCGGTGCCTCAAAACACAAGATTTTTCCTTTCTGTCCATTCCTTTCTAAGCTGCAGTTTGCAAATACAGGTCCATTATAATGAGTCCATATGAGTCCAATGTAGTTTTTTTTTGAATTCTCCACCTTTCTCGTCCTTCTCGTCACCCCTTTTTTCCAGAGGCCTCCAGGATGCCGCCCGGACAGCTGCAGCGCCTCAGTGGAAAGCCGCTCGAGATCTCTGACCTCGCGTCCGCCCGGGAGGCGGCCAAAGGCGCGGCGCTGCTTGCTTCGCGGTGGGCGCCCTGTGTCGACACAGGCTGCTGAGTGCCAACATGGCCGAACAGAAGCAGCTCCCAAGCAGGAAAGTTCTGAACAAATAGAATGAGAAGCGACGTCGTGTGGGCAAACCTCAAGTTCATGGTTTTGGGTGTTGCGTACAACGGAAGGAATGTAATGTCTGTACTATTCAATATTCCTTTGCCAGGTAGTTGGCCATTTGTTGGAAGAAACTTCTTCGTTGCAGAAGGTCGAAACCTTCGATCTGATGCACCGCAGGCCGAATGGTCTCCGCTGCCCAAACAGCTCTTTCCGCTCAGAGATCGGTCGAGCAGCCTGGCGACGCGAGCCGTTTGGTGCTTGGACAGTTCGGTGCTTTGAACAGACCATTTCAAAACAACCAAAAGAGAATCGTCAAAACTAGAGTTTTCTTGGATGAACAAATGAGATCGAAAGTTTTTGTGGGATGTTTTGAATTGCTTTGGATGTGTAATCGCCAAATAGCCCCTCTTAAACCGGACCGAGCGCAACGCATCGCTTCGCGCACCGCGCTTTCCTGGCGGACGAGGTTCTTCAAGCGGACCCTGGCGGCCGCCCGGGGTGAAGCCTCGGCGGAGCAGCGGTCGTGCAGCATTTGCCTGGAGGAGGATTTGACGGAGGTGGGGCAGGGCCGCAGGGCTGGGCCGGAGGAAGTTTCTGGTTTTTGGATGTTTTTGGGGGGATGGGGAGAGGCTTGGATGAGTCACGGGCCTGTAGTAGGTAAGGGATGATGGGTTGAAAAGGGATATGGGAGCGGATGGTATGGAACAGAGATGTGGGATGAAGTTAGATGGATACGATGGGATTGGAGCGGTGTACGGCCGGACCGGTCTCAGGTGGATCCACTGTCGGCTACGATCCATACCATCTCGGTTGCACAACACGATCCCGCGGCGGCGCATGTCGCCCCGCCTCCTGCGCCCTCCATGGTAGGCATTTGTCGCGAAGGGCGTTGCTGAGTTGGGAAGCCCATCTGAGTCCCGGCCAGGACCAGCTGTCCATCACCGTGTGCGCGCATGTCTTCCACACCGACTGCCTCAATGAGGTGGTGAAACACTTTGGGACCTGCCCCGTGCTTTGGCTCAGTGCACCTGTGGGCCTGAAGGTGAAGGAGTTGAGGTGACCTAGCTAGATCAGTAGTAGATGCTTGGTCGAAGTGCCATTGCCCAAAGCACAGAAGAACCAAGGCCCTACCAGTGCAGGAGAAGATGCTGAGTGTAGATCACATGAACAGTTTGAACACATATGAATGCCTTGTTGATCCCAGCAGTCCGAGCATGTCCGAGCCGTGTCTTGCCCTTCCTCCATTCCGAGGTGTGCCGCCATGGCCTGACGGGGAAGAACAAGGTCACCTCGCTGGCAGCCGAGCTTGCGCCCGCGCTGCCGGCGGTGCGCAGCGATAAAGGCGACAGAGCGAGCTTACATCGGTGTGCAGAGGATGTTTCAAAGAATGCATGGTACCACACCATCTTGTTACGTACCATGTCCAGTCTCGGAACCAGTGATGAAAGAGGTATACTTAGAGACAATCAATTGGATTACAGGGGTTGGCCCAACTGAATGGAGCATGTATTCTGAAAACAGATTAAGGTTAGATGAAGACATCTGAGAATGGAGCAGTCGAGGGCAAGATCGACAGGTTCAGGGGTCAGGTGGCGCAATCCTTTTGTAGAATTCTTCGTCATTTGCCATTCAGGAGAGATAGAATGTTCATCTAGGGAGTTTTCCGCCTGAATTCGGGCTCCGATTTCAGCGCCTGCTGCCGCTCTTGGCTCTTCAGGCCAGAAGCGCCGGCTCAGCAGTGACACCTCGGAGACTTCCAAGAAGGCCAAGCTTCGCGGCGACGGGTGCAGCGGTCTGAAGCTCGGTCCGAAGCTCGCATCCTACGGTGGATGTTTGTGGGCACCCAGGGACATCCAGGGACCCCTACCAGGTGGCTAATAGACACCCATTAACCTCATAAGGAGCTATTATTGGACACCTGTTTGGGGGGGCTCTGGTAGGAACCTTTCTCTTGTGCTCTCAGTTTTGATGGACAGCTGGACGTCGGCAGCGTTTCCGGGCGAAAGAAGGCTCTTCGGAGATCCGAGATGCTCCAGTGAGCAGCCTATTTCCTGGGACCTGTCGGGACCTGTTGTTGTGACGAAAGTCATTTCACTGACTGTCGAGTCATGCAACGGCACAACCGCCAGACGTAGGAAGATGAAAGGGTCTACCGTCATGGACCGCAAGGTGTGTCACTCCCCTTACTGGTCGGCCAAGTCACAGTGCTCACCGATGGAGGCAGGAAGCAAACTTGCCGCTTTAGCAGTGCACCTGCAGAGTATCAGTGCTGGTCGCGTGGACGCATGTGGGGATGGATCAAAGCTTTGGAGCGTCAACACCATGCAGCTTGACCTTCCAGGTAGGTCAAGAAAGGTCTCCTGGCTTTGTCCCACCACAGCCATCATATAGATCTTGGTCACTGAAGCTACACCGCAAGAACTTGGTGCCACCCAGCCTTGAACACAAACAGCGTCACTGATTTGTTTCCTTGTGAACAACTGTGCATGGAATCCCCACGTGTATACTACTGCTTTTTGGAGGAAGCTTGTCTTTGAGGTCTGTTTGTAGGATCGATTTTAGGTTTGGCCGTGCGCACATTTCGCAAGCACATTATTTGGCACAGTCCTTAATCTATCAGGTTTAGTCGCAGAGGTGAGGGCCTGTGCCAATGACTTTGCTAGGCCTGTGTGCTTAGTCTCCAGCGAAACCAATTCTGACCCTCAACACAACAAGGACGCTGTTTCAGGTGAAGCGTCCGTATAAAGCAACGGGAATCATGTTTCAGACCTGTGTGGTTTATGGACCGGGCAAGGTTTGTTTCGAGCAGCATTATGTTGCCACAAAGCATGCAAACCTCCGCACAATAGCCCATGTTGCCCCCCATGTTGGCCTTGAAGATATTTGAGTCCAGGCTGTGCCCGTACCTGTGCAAGCTTCGCTACACGTGGATGTTGTTATTGTCCAAAGGGCAATCTGTAATCAACACCTACATGATTATAGTTTTATCTTTCGGAGTTGTAGCTTTGGAGTTGGCTGTTCAACCAAGAAGGAAGCGTCTGGTGCATGGCCCGTCGCGCGTCGCACGAGTTCACGTGGGCATGGAAAAGTGGGCATGTCAGGTGAGAAAGTGCTGGTCTTTTGTCAGTGGGAAGACTTGAAGAAGCACATCTCAGCGACCTGGACATGGCCTTGTCTATAGTTACTTCTATCGTATTTGCAGATGGGTGGTTTCAATGGTAGAACCGTGTTGTGTTTTTTATTGGGGGGGGCGTTTGCTCTGAACATCTCTGAATCTATCACACGTGGTGTGTCTCTCCTTGGTGGGGATGTATTGCTAGAAGTCAATTTTCGGTTCAAGGTACCTCCCAATCAAATCAGCCGGTTTTTGATCATTCTGAGTCAACCCTGCCAATTCCAAATAACTTTGAACCATTTGCTCGCAGAATTCTTGCCCTTCCACGGACCGCCACACGGAAAATTCGTGAACGGCATGGGGATCGGCGTGAAATGGCGGAGACACACCGCGAACGGATGGGGTTGAGGACACCTTGCAGTCCATGGGCGTTCCCCACTTCCAGCTCATTGGGAACCTCTTCCAACGCGCTGAGATCCTTCGGAGGTTCCAGGACCCTTTCGGACTCGGGGGGGGAATCTCGCAGGGCATGTTTCGAGCGCGGGGATTTGACTTCTTTCCACATGGATGGATGCCCAAGAAGGACAATGTTCAATTTTCATGGCAGGTAGTTCACAGTCCAAGTTTATTCTCTGCCGAAGGAGGAAAGCCACGAATCGGCTGTGCGTGTGCTGTTGCTTTCACTGGAGCATGCTGCAAGTGGAACAAACCTCACTGCTGCAAATCATGTGACTTGGATTGTTTTCGGTTTTGGAGGTTTCTGGTGGGGCTGATCAGGATAAACTGACCTAAAGCTGAAAACAGCTAGCTTGATTGAGGGTAGGGGGTAGGGGTGCTTTATCATTTTCTGGAACACTTGCACGACGATGGAGATTGGTCCGGGTGGGTTGTGCTATATAATAACAATTGATATAATTCAAATTGTACTATGACATGCTATTGTAACATAACATAACATATCAGATAATAAAAATATACTGTATATAAGCATGACATCCGTGCCAAGATTCTTGATGTTTCCTATGTCAGGTATAGTGGTCCTGAAGACTTCTCCCAGCAACAGGTTGTGTGAAGAGAAAGCTCGGTGATGAGAGCGCTACCCTTGTTTCCATGGCTTCCTTGCTATTGGCATCACACCTGAATCTTGCAAAAGCACATGGTGTCATTTGCCTCGGTTGAAGAAGCCTGGCTTCTGCCGGGCTGTTGGCCTAAAGGAAGAACAGGCATAAACATAAGCACTGGTAGTGCATCTCCACTGACTGCTGTCGTGGAGCACAAAGATATGATAAAGAGATTGGCACTCTCTAAAGCCCTTCTTGATCCTTCTTGCCATTTAGACTCTAAGAAAGCCAAGTTTGTGCCTATACCGGGACCTGTGACCTTCGCCTTTTGCGGCATCCAGTCGCTCCACCGAGGTCGTGTTCGTCCATCCGATGCACGCGGCCTCACCGGAGAAGGCCGTTGCATACGAAGCCCAGGCCATTGCGCGCTGCCGGCGCTACGGGCAAGAGAAGACAGCGCCTAGACCGTGGACGGAGTGAAGATTTGGCGTAGAGGGCGATTGATCGATGTGAATGACTGGAGCCATGGAAGATTCACTTGCTCCACATGTCAGAACACTGGTAGTTTTAAGAAACCTTCCATCTAATTGGTTGAAGTATGTTGACGTGATGAATTCGAAGTCGGTCTTCATCATGTCGAAGCCTTCTTACGTGCCTCCACTCCCGGCGTTCCACGGTGTCCGACCCGGTGAGCTCTCAGGTGCATTGCTGGAGGTTGGTGGCCAGGGGCACCATCGAGGAGTGGCGATGAAGGGTCAGATCCTCATGGGTTGAGCGTTCGACTCACCAGGTTTGAGTGCGGAATTGAGAGTTCTTCGGCATGTAGAGACCCAGGATGTCCAGGGCTATCTGGTCACTAGTCCTACCACCTGGACAAAAGTACTCGATACTGGTCTCCATTTGTCTCCATCAAAAAAAGACACCTTGGTTGTTCGTTTGCAGTCCCTCCAACGACCGTCGCTGCCACCTGGACGTGGAGGGGCGACCGACCATCTCTAGGGCCAATCGATCGACTACAGTTTGGGTCTTGATTTTGCACCAGGGCCCTGGGTTTCTTTCGAATACCAGGAAGGTAGCTCGAAGCAGCTGAATTGCTTGGGCGAGAGTCAGGGCCCCTTTTAAGAAGTTCTTTCGCAGGCGTTGGACCGACCCATGAAAGAATAGAGTTATCCTACCATTACTGTCATGGCTGACGCTGTCATGTGTTGATGTTTTTTCCTGCTTTTTCTCCATTCGACTCGCCAGGAGACGATTACGGCCACGCATCAGAAGGACCTCTGGCAGGATCATGTGGCGCGCTCTGCCCCCACCTCTGGCGGGGCCTGAGTTGCGGAGGCCACCACGCCGAAAAACGTGCAGGGTCAGTGGGATCAACAATTCGATCGTGCTGTTTTGTTGTTTTGGTGTCGTTTTGGAAGAACCACCCGGCAGGAGAATGACACGTGAACCATGGTGAAGCCATGTCAACCTTACATTATACTGCTATGATCTGCTATGCTAGTGCGATACTAGTGCTGTCTCAATGGTTCGATCCTTGCGTTCTTTTTGTTTTTGGTCATTGCTTTCCCAGGTCCCTTGCCGCTTGCTGACTGGGCGATGGGTCATCCCATGACTGGGGTGGAATGCCTGACCCTTTGGTGGCGATTGGGGACCTCAAAGCAGGCAACATTGATTCACATTGAGCCAAGGATCGTTAACATAGTATGTGTGGTGCAGGTGTTTGGACATGCTACACTTGCCGAAGCTCTAAGACTTAGAGCATGTTGTTTCGAGGAATGCTACCGCTGCGATGAATGTTGACTGGGATGCCATGCTGCCCGCCAGAACATCACAGTCAATGATTGGAGTTCTTGCAAGATTCCAGGCTAGGCTTGCCAGAGGCTCCCACCGACAGACATTTGGAATCTCATGGGGGCACAGGGTCATGGCATCATTTTGTGGATTCGTGCCAACATTTCCAAAGTTTTTTCTGCATGTTTTGGGATCATTTCAGGGCTTCCCTGCTGATATGACCCGAATCTGAATGCTATGAGAATTGCCATGGTGGAAGCCCTTTTGCAGTCCTTTTATCATCCGGTTGATTTACGATCATCATCATCGGCCAACATCATCAGAATTTGTCTTTCGAAGAACCCCCCAGCTATCACCGAACATCTCATCTCAACCAATTGTTCTTCTTGCCAGCTTTGCTTGGCATCTCCATGTTTCTTTGCCTGTGGGGTGACCATGGCTGGGTGCCATGCTGCTTTGCGATGTGAAACAGGGCGAAAAACGCGGCCGCAAATGCCACTGGCAGTCCTGGGTCATGTCTTGGTCAGGTGAGACCCCCCAAAGCAGTGGCTTCGTTGATGGCCATTTAGAGACAAAAACAGATGCAAGGCTCAAGCAGTAGGGAAGACAAACAATGACAATGACAATCGTTTCCTTTACCAGGTCTGGGAGTGCGTTTGTGAAGTGGTTCGCTGGCTTTTCTCACCACGATGAACACCACGATTAGATATGATTAGACCATTGCAAAGCGAATGCCACTGACTTTCCCATGCTTCTCGCATAATGAATATTCAAATGCCTTTTGGGGAGGATTGACGGCTTTCCTTAGATTTGCAGGGAGTGTGGTTGAGAAATCTCTACAAAGCAATGTGCTATTCTACTACATGGTTACCATATATCCTCCAACATGGCGTGGCATGGCAAGCAGACGTCGTCAAGAATATGTGCAGTCGCCATCACCCAACATGTGCCTTCTTGTTTGTGCGCGTGCAAGAATCAGTATGTACATTTGACCATGTAACCAATTACAGAATTTACCTTGATATTCGGGAACCTTTAACCTTTTATAATATACAGTAACCTCTTTTTTTTTTTCGGACTCTTGGCTGAAATCACGGCATCCATGTAAGGCCCTGAGAACTTGACCCAAGCGTCCGGAGTTTGAAAGGGAATAGGCATGCAGCGTGCCAGTGTCATTCAGTTGCCATTCTCTTTTGCTCCACTGCTAAGTGACTTGTCCGGCGAGTGATTGCCCAACACACGGCATTGAAAAGGGGCAGTTCAAGAGACCCGGGCAGTTCGAGTGACCCTGGCAGAATTCATCATCAGTAAAGCTCGGATTTGTCAATTTGAATTTGTGGAGGTCTCGTCTCTTCTGACTCTGGTTGTTAGCAATCGTGGGGCCGAGCCAAGCAACAGCCAAAGACCACAGTAATGATCAGGAGAAGTGCAGCAGTTCACACAGTTCTTGTTGTAGAAGTAGCGATCAGTCTCCAGACCTGACCTCACGAGTTGTTCGGAGTTTCTCATTTTTCTCAGGATGACTCGGGGTCAGAGCCCATCCCCACCACATATATAGGCGCCCATCCGCTCATGGGACCTACTTCCCGCTGGACACCGCAGTGAGACCGGAGGAGGAACTGTCCGGCACAGGACAGACGCAGACGGGCAGGGGCCAAACGTTCGAGGCGATTCACGGAGGGGAACAGCGATCATATGAATACCATATATAACTGACCATTCCAATGTGTTTTGCATATTATATAGTATTATTGTCATTACTATTATTACTATATAACCAACAGTAATGTATACATATATATATATTATATGTCATAATCTCGCTGTCTCTGTGTTAGCAATGATGATGTGCAGAGTCTCAAGTTGGATTATGGGAAAAACACATCTATGAATTTGGGTGTTACCATCCATGTTTGGGCGGATTTTATTGATCAAGAGTCCACACTGTACTGATCACAGTTCGCAGGCATGTTGGGAACCTTTTTCAGGGATGCACCAGACGTGGATAGCTGGGATTGCTGGGATGGCTAGCTGGAGTGAGCTCAAACTGGTGCAGCTTGGATCGATTTGAGCTCATGCTGACGGGCACCCCAAGGTTCAGGCTGTTTATCCAATTAAATTCTCATCATGGGTGCATAGCAGGGAACTTACGACATACTGTAGGGAAAGCCCTAGGCATGTAGGCTGCACGGGTGTACTGTATACATAAATAATATGTGTATATATACATAGTCTCGGACAATCACTTTGAACAAGTTTTGGAAAAATGAGCACCATTTACAGGTAAAAGTTCTTAGAACATGGGCAAACCTTCTTTTAGAACATCTTAGCACTGGACATTAAACATACACTTAGAACATTCATACAAATACCAACTTTTGAGGAATGAGCCTCGCCCCACCTGCAGCACCCTCTCCAACATATAGTAATATATATATATTTAAAAATCCAGCTATTTGGATGTCATCACTTCAGTTCTGCTCAGACGGATGTTCCAAGTGTCTTCAGTTCTGCTTTGATGGATGTTCCAAGTGTACACTTAGAACATGCATGTTCTAAGTGACGAGATGTTGTTTTGGAAATGTGTTTTATTCCAAGTATATGTCCGTCGCTATATAACTATATACATAAGTGAACATATGTGTGTTTTCTTGTTATTATTCACTTTACAATATATATATATAGGTAGTAGAAGTAGTATTGCGCCCGCCTGACTTGGAAGCAGCTTCTTCTCCATGAGACTTGCCAGGAGTGAAGAAGCTGCTTGATGGCGGAGGAATTCGATCCGAGCTTTGCGATGATATCATGTACCTTGCTGTGCCACTGGTTGGATTGCACCCTGCAGCTGACAAACTGTAGAAGCTACAATTATGCCAAGGATATGTGACCTGGTGTGTATGTATTAGTTTATGTATTAAACGCTTACCCGTGTTGAGGAAAATAGGGCCCCCCCATGCCCTTTCAGCCTGTGAGATCGAAACAGATCGAGCTCATCCCGGATTGGCTGCCGTCAATTCTTGTGCACGTGCCACGCCAGGCCGAGAATGACTTCCAGGTGCTTTGGGCCGCAGTTGGGCGTGTTGGCGTTGATGTCCGTGGTGGTCAAGACATCCACAGACATCTAGGTGTGTGCCATGTTCATGTTCTGCGTTCTGCAAGTCCACGGCTTGTTTGAAGGATAACATCGTATTGTAGCAAGACTCTTTGGGATTCGGACTCGCCATATTCTGGCCATGGCTGGCAAACCTTTGTTTTTGGAATCACTTGCATGGCCCTTTGTGGTACTTTTGTCACGATCATCGTCCATTGCTTCATTTGCAGCACGGTCAGAAGGCACCCCCAGTTCTCCACAGGTTGTAGACGATGGTTGAAGGTAGACATTTGTTTCACAGTCCTCCCGGAAGAGAGGAAACCATGCCATACCAAACCACTATATTAGCAGTCCTTTCGCCAACAAGAGCGTTTGTTATGTGTCTAGTTTTGCTCTTGACCACTTGTTCCATAATAGTCCCATGCTTTAACAACAATTCCTCGTTTTCTATGTAGGGCTTAGGGTCATAAAAAACACGACAAGGGGGGTTGCCACTCTGGAATCTCCTTAAAATGGCGGATGTTCGAGGCCTCCGAGAGCTTCCAAGGAGCCCGGCCCGGACACCTGCTTTTGCGGGATGGGAGTTATTCACTTGACGTTTTGGAAACATCCATGTACTGTATGTATATATATATACTATATGTATAACTATGTATTTATTTATTTTTTTTAATGCGAGGATATTTGTTTTGTTCACATGTCTGGATTTGATGGACAACCCTGAACAGTATCCCGCACAAATCAGAGCCTGAGCCGATATAAGAAGGTGCGGGAAAGAAGAACGCCCTGCAGTGAGGTTTGACATCAGAGAAACACTTGGAGTATGGATGTGACACTCAAACCCACTTATGATCTCTTATATAAGTGCAAACTTCACTTGTGGAAGCTGGGTTGAGAAAGAACAGAATCCTGCTTCCAAAAAAAGCCATCAAAATGAATAGCTTGGCAGCTTGGCCAGTGGTTTCGTCTCGGATGCCCTCGTGCTTCCTCGTGGCTGTTTGCACTAAACCGGCATGGCCTTCAAGTATCTTCATTTGATCCACCAGCTCCTCACAAGCCTTGCGGAGCCAATCCGAGGGCTACGGACGGTCCACTTGCTTGGGATAAATCGTAATAAATCGGCAAAGTGGACGGTCTATGACAAAAATGGTCTTCAGCAAAAAGATCACAGCTCCGTCCCCGTTGGGTTTCCATGTCCCCGTTCCGTTCCTCCACGACTCGCTCCACCCACGGGGCGTCCCTAGGCCTGGCTATGCCTTCAAGATGGGCCCCAAGGGCCTTGGGCATCTTGGAAGACCATCGAACGGCCGCGGCGCATAGCCCACGGAACCATGGGGAAACCACTTCGATGAGCCACTTCCAACACCTTCTCTTGGTTGTTCAATGTAGATTCTTGATATATTTGAACCCCCAAACATGGATTGCATGGGGGTCAAGACTCTACCCTTGGAAGTTGAGGGATGTGTGACCAAGTAAAAGAGTGACCAATCCACCTTGCTTGGAGTTTGGTCGAAGGGCAGCTTTTGGTAGACGCACCACTTTTGGTTTCTCTATGGTGACTTTGTTAGGCCTCGCGAAGAAGGTTGACTTTGTACCTTTGCTGGTTTCAATTTCAATGGTTTGAGGTTCAATGTCACGGTATAGATTCCTGATGATTCCTGCTATTTGAGGACCGCAGTGCAACTTGAGAGCATTCACACTAAGAAAGGCACATATTGTGTGGCTGAAACCTCCATGTTCAGGGTTAGTGTAGATCTGGTGACTGAGGTACTACCTGGACGCGAAGCAGGGCACCAAGTCTTTTTGGGCCGAGGCGGGCCGGTTCGCAGAGGTTTTTTCTGCGGACACGTGGCTCAGGATACGTCCTGAAGCCAGCAAGTGGTGGTGCTTTGATTACTTTTTGGTGGGACCCAGCTGACAAACCCCAATTTGCAACCTTTGGTTGCTTTACTGGTCAGCGAAATCTTTGAAGACATAGTGACATAGTTGCTCGGACATTTTGAAGTTGGATGGCTTGGGGTCTCCAGGGCCAATCCACAGCAAAAAAGCACGTGAATGTTCAATATATTGTTGGGCATCCCACGATCTCCCCTATACACACGAACCGCCGAAGCGGGGCCATCGACCATCGACCGATGAATCCAGGCCATCGCCCAGCTCCCAGAGACCTGGCGTGAGGCGCCCTTCCGAGAGGCGCGGTGACACGCGGCGTAGGTGAAGAGATCGATGTCCCAAGTACGGGGATTCACGGGTTCTATCAAAAACGGTAAATAAATAAATAAATATATATATATACACATACAGCCTACAAGTCAATGAGCTCATTTTACTGGAGTTGGTCATACACAAACACTACTCAAGGAGGTAAAAGAACAGGTTTTACTAGGTCAGACTGCACTTGTAGGAATATAGTACATTTTAGGTTCTGTTTTGGGAGGTGAGAGTTGAGGATGGGGGACTCCATAAGACTCCCGTTGAGGATGACATAGCCGACCATAGCTTTCAGACTTGAGCGGGCCAGAATTGGATTTGGACACCTCAGTCCGCCCTTCGGAATGAGTCCCAAATCCATGTTTGATACCAACGTGCGGCTAGAAAATGTAGTATAGGATGATGTGACCACTTGGAGGATCATCCCACTTGGGCCACGTGGAAAATGGATCATCATGATGTTGGCTTTGTCATTGGCAACTTGCGGAGCCCGTGAGTGGACGGGCAGTCGTTTGATGAGTATCGTGGCAGGAGCCCACAAACCCGTCACGTTTTCAGAACCAGCTGGGTGTTGGATGGCTTCAGCCAGAATGCAATGGCTCTTTAAAGTTTATTGTATAGTAAGTAAGTTAAAGCCTTCTGTTTTCTTTCATCTGTCTTTGGAATGAGCGACAGCCAGTCTACATCAGCATGAGTGCCCCTCGCTCCAACCTGTGGAGCCTCCATCTACCGGAACCTTCGCACCGGACAGGCGCTTCTGAGTCTGGCCTCTCAGAGGGTGGGCCATCCGCCCGCACCATGCAAGCTATCCAACAGAATCAGAAACGAAACCATCCATGCTTGGTACCGGTCCTTGTGTTTGTTTTGTTTAATGATGTTTTTTTGTTTAGTTTAATGCTTGTTTCACTGTTCCCATTTGCGGTGAGACCTTCCAAGTAGGCCAGCAAACATAATGAGGCAAGCCTCAAAGTAATTAGGAAGAAGCAGCTGCAGTCACATTGGTCACATCCACATTGGTGGCATTAGTTTTTTTCTTGGAGACCCTTATTAACATTATTAACCATCATCATGAACAGCAGTTTGCCAAGTCCCAAGCATTCTGGAGAGTCCAAAGCGATGCATGCCGAGGAGTGCATGCAGAGAAGGGCTGCGGGGTGGGAATGGCGTCGTGGCCTCATGTGGTCAGTTCGCAGATTTGCTGAAGCTAAGTGCATTCACCACAGAGCGAGAGAGATACACTCCCTGAAGAAATCATAGAAGTGGATGGCACGGGCCCTTGGATGACCATGAAATCCTCTACAAATAGATGGCTTTCACTCCACTTCCATGAGCGTTTTCCGGGTGTCGATCGAACGCGTCATCCGTGCCAGCATGGTCCGTTGGGTCCATCATGGTCCATCAAGGCACAGCGCCTTTGGCCTGGTGGTGGAGACCGTGGACGAAGTGTGAGGATCTCAAAATGGCCATGGAACCTTCATGAATCGTCGCATTTTGGAGGTGGGCCCTGAGGGCCTCAGGCTCACTTTAGCCAAACGGAACTCTTGGAGAAGGCCATGCAGAGAGAGAGTTGTGACACCGACGCACAGCGGTTGCACGATTGGACTGCAAACTGGAGGGAAACGACTGGAACTGAGGACATCAGACAGATGTGAAGCGCATTCCGCAGAATCCTGAGGCCCGGGCAAGACCTGCAACCGGGCGAGGTGCTTGGCTCAAAGCAGTGATCCTCATAGTCCCGGCCGCACAGTGTTGAAAAAACAATGCCATGTAGCAGAATCACCGAAGACAGATGCAATGCCATTAAAGAAAAGTAATGTGTTAACATCACTATGTTTTCTTCAACAACATCACTAGTAACAAGGTTCGGTACTAGGAACAAGTGCCTTACTACTAGGAGCAAGAAGCTACTAGGGGCTCCTGGCCTTACTAGTAGTAACCAGAAGCTACATTATGTGTTGGTTGAAGAAAAGGCACCTGGATTCGGATCTTGAGTCCCGTGACGTGACCCGTAGCGAAGCACCACCACGACCGCGCTGTCTCGTCTCGATGTCATGGAACGGTGGCAGCATGTGACGAACCACGCAGTCTGATAACGCTTAGAAGGGCATAGAATTCCAAAAGATATGGAGTAATTTCGTAGAAGCTCGTGTATCTTTTAAAATACATGTTGATATAATGTGAAAAGAGAAAAACTAACATCAAGTGTGAAGTGTTTGCCCCATGACAGGTGATCGTGTCCATTGAGGGCCGTGTCTTAGCCAGCTTGTCAGCACCACAAATGCAGGCGTTTGGGTGGCCAGAGTGCGTTCTCCACATGTTGCAATTAACACAGAGGGTCGAACTGTGCAAGGTAAAGGGAAGCAGACAGCCAAAAGAACATGAGTTTAATACTATACTTTTCAGCGGCTTTAACAAGAGAAGGTCCTTAACTATCCCCCACCAGTTCGCATGAGGGAGGGACCGAGCGCATATGTTAACAGGTTTCACTAAGGACCTGGCAGCCGCCCGTGGCTGCCCAGCTTGTAACGCGGTGGCTGATGAATTCGACCGCCAGGGAGGTGAAGTGGAGAGGGACTGTCGCTGTGTGGCAGGGGCTGTCAAGCCGTTGACTTTGGAGGCCTCCTTCCAGAAGAGACGCCTTGACGGTGCGAAGCTGCTGGTGGGCAACCACACACAGGCGCCAAAGAGAATGAGTTCGGTTTGGTATCAGTCTTGCCTCCTCATGGGGTATGCAAAATGGAACTTGAATTTTAAGCGTGTCTTCGATTGGTCCAAGGCCACCATCGCTCTTAATTAGTCCACATGATATCACATGATGATGAATTCACAGCAAGTTCAATAGTTCAATTGTTTCTTCTTTACAGTGCTATTTCCAGATTTCCATCATTACCATTGTTCGGGCTGGATTCCTTGAATTTCATCGCCTTCGAAAGGGGATGAGTTCACCCTGAGCGGATTCCACCGGAAGTCCACCCCTTTTCGGTTCCGCATGGTGTGACACCGTGTAGGTCAAGGAGCTGTCCCAGCGAGATCCCAACATCATCCAGATGTGGGATCCTTTGAAGAAGGCCTGGGCTCGGGCCCGGGCTCGACTGTCCGTCCTTTGGTGCAGCCACACCGGTTGGTTTGATTGGTTTCGGGGCTTTGATGATGTCAGCCGAAGACTTAGCGCCTCACAAGATTTCAGTTTGTAAGGCTTGGCATGGACTTTTAGAGGCTGCCCGAATGGAGGTACAGTTGCGACACTTGGACAGCAAGACCATGCCAATACAATGATTGAACATCTTGTATTTACATCTATATGTGTATAATAATGTATAATATACATATATATATATACATACATGTGGCTTTCACGATCTGGTCAGCTACTGCGTGGCTCATTCTTGAGTTTTAGGATTCTTAGGGTGTAGGAAAACATGGGCATAGTCATAGCTATTCAGGCATCCATGAAACCCAAAGTCATAATCCCCTTCTGAAGTGCATGATGGGCAGTTTCTGGGCCATCTGACCTTATCTGACCTCAGGTGATCTGGCACCGTCAGCGACGCCGACTTAGTCACTGAAAAATCGTCCTGTCCTCGTGACTTTGGTTACACTTCGGACTAATCACCTCGGCCAGCACAACTACTTCTTCCACAAGAAGTCCGGTCGCAGTGCCTGGACCCTCGAGGACGCGGCGACGTCGGTCGCCGCTTCGGCCCGCGGACGTGGTCGGCGTAAGGGCGAGTCGGGAAGGCACCGGGTTACGAAATCAATGGACGGCGGGTGCTCGAATCATATCACTATATATATGGATTTAAACCATCAGTTGGCTCTCATTCTTATTGAAGTCTGGCTCCACTATCGCTGGTGAACGTTGGTGGTTTCCAGATCATTAAGTCCTTGAACTGCAGTTCTTCTGCAAGCATTTGCCTCAGCCAGGACACGAAATCTACCTAGAGTATCCTAGAGTTGCTGATGCACAAGTCCGCATCTATTTACCAGCCCATCCATTAGATGTCACCTTGCTGCTGGATTACGGTTTGCCCGTTAGAAAGGTTAAGTGACCTTATAAGACGTTACTGTGGTACCTACGGGATAGTCTAGTGGAGTCCTTCAACCTCTGTTGGTCTCCTTTTCTTCGATTATCCCTTTGTCCTGCTTGCCTTGGGTCGATGCACAGATGGGCCATCGGATGGACGGATGGATCTGCGGCGGCGAGATTTTTGGGATCGAGTTGGATCAAGCGTGATCAACCTGATGTCATAACTTGTAATGGGGATAGGCCCAAACCATAACCCTAGAAATACAGGTGTTGTAACGATAGTGAACAATGGTCCATCAACCAACAGGTGCTGCTTGACGCGCGTGGGGCGCGTTCTCAGCTCGGAACACAGGAGCTGCAGTCAAAGGAAGGTGGAGCTGCTGCATCCGCGCCAGAGGCGGCCAAGAGCTCCCAGGCCCAGTGGTGTGTGTGACGTGCATTTTGCGCAGTTGGACGCAGTGGCACCAACCACCAAACGCAGCTTGGGCCGTGGATATTCGTTCTCGATTCTCCATGTTTCACTCATATCCTAGCTTCCAGTTATTTTCAGCGTTGACCTGCAAGCAGAACATCATGGTGGCTCTCTCTCGCGGGCGCCCATGCACCGACGTAAAAAACGCAGGCAGCGCCCATTGACTTGTCCCACTTCCTTCAACACGGCTTCGCCAAGCAGAGGGAGCCGCCCCCGAAGAAGAGGCCCAAGGCGCTAAAGCCGAAGGGTCGTGTGGATTGACAGGGCAGGATCGAAGTGCACGGGGGATCGGCCCCCATTGGTGATTGGAGGGCATGGCAACAATTCTTCACCCACTGGTTGGGTCTAAAAGCCAGCCCCTGTGAAATTGTGTAAGTTGTGCATCTTGAAGCCCAATCCATGATTTGCTGGAAGCACAACTTCAGTAGAGCTAAGTCCACGGTGCCAAATATGGGTGTTTGCCAATCTAGAAAGGCATAAAAACACCAGGAACATTCACAAGGATGACTCCTGCTGACTCCTGCTGTTTTGAGCGAATCACACTACAAAGCGGAAACATCCCCATTGGATGTCTTTGGAATGTCAGGCCACCCGTTGTATTGAAAGGTGAGTGGGCAAAGGATTGCGAAACGATGAGTGATGGACTTCAAGAACAACCCGCCCCGGGAGTTGCAGGCAAAAGCCTCCTCGCAGAAGGAGGAGGAGGACGGAAAAGATGAGCCTGACACCTACAGCTGCTACATCTGAAAGCAGTGAAGCTGCCACAAATCGCCACAAGCGTTCACGGGGGACGAACAAGTAAAGACTGCCTGACTGCAGTGTGGCTCAGTCGAAAACAAGAACATGTGAACTCCAAGTAGGGCTTGCAGGAAGTGCAGAAATGTGCAGAATAGTGGAGGTCCCCCTCTCCCAAAATCCCAGGCTCCAGAAAATCCGAAGTTCAGACCCCCCAAAAAAAAGGCACAAGGTGGTGCCCCCACGTCGCTCCGTACGACTCCCCAGGTCTGACCTGGCCAGAGATGACCGGGGCTCTCAGGGGTCGCTGGGAGATTGCGTGGCTAATGCGAGTCTTTTTTGGGAACCCGGATGTCGCTCCATAGGGCTTTTCACTTGGCATCCACCCCCAGGAGCCAAGACATCGACCCCACCCCAAAGGCACGAGTGCCCATAGGCACGCCATGCCCAAGGTGTGCCAGGAGTTGAAGTGTTTGGGATTCGTGTGACTGTGTGTCAATGAGAATGTTTCGATCGTGGAGCTGGTTGGACCATAGACCATACGTCCCTTGGGAGACAGCACATTGACATGGCATCAGGCCTTTTTTTGAGTTGTTTTTTTTCAGCTTTGTCTAGTCTAGGATGCCCGGGCAATTCTTGTCTTGCTGTCTCCCATGGGGCCATGTGAGCAGCTTGACGTGTGAGTTCGACGTGTGGGTTATATAATATATAAATATATTGCTCCAGCAGATGTTGCGCAGGTGCAAGTGAGGTTACACTTGATCCACTTCCCCCCTAGATAAAAAGCAACATAGAAACTGACAGAGCCTCCCAGGTATAGCATGTGTCTAAACTGCAGTTCAAACTGCCAGATCCCCAGGACCATCCCCAGAGTCTGTTGTGGCGCTTTCATTCTCAAGTATCCACCACAGGGGTCTTATGGCAGAATCATCTTCCTGACCAGCTCTGGAAGCTTCGGCATTTGTGTGGGAAAGCAGGGAATACGGTGCAAGTCTTCCAAGTACTGGGCGTGCAGGGCTTGCATTTGACGGTCTTGGCATCTCGCACCTACGGCAGCTGCATAAGCCTAGCATGAGCCAGAATGCAAGAAGGCAAGAAAAGCCACGGCCACAAGCAGTATTAGAAAGACCTCTGTCCTATCCCCAATTGCTGGGGTGAAGACAAGCTACCCTTACGCCCAATGAAGTTGATGAGTTTGGTGCCAAGCTTTTGCGTTTGGACATCCCATCTGCCAGTGAAGAAACACACGGATCTCTAGTGAATTTGAACATAAATTTGACTGGTGAGGTTCGAAGCATCCAAAATAGATTCACCAACTACCAGGGGTTGCTCAAAATATATCTTGTAGCGCTACTAGTTACTTGATGTTCTGATTTTCCCCCAGCTGATGGTTGCCTCACGTAGCTCCAAACTGCACCACGTTTTCTTCCCGCTTCGGACTCCTTGTCGGATGGTCCGAAGCCAGCCATGCTCTGCGAGAGGCGAACGGGTAACCAGTTGTTCTTGCCATGTTCGCTCGGCACACGAACAGGGCCAACAGGGAACAAAAATACGGCTTTGTGGATGGCAGTATGTTTTTGTTGAAGATGATGTCTCAAACACCAAGGGTGTGCGACCTCCATTTTTTAATTGGAGTGTAGGAGATGATGGAAGCTTTGGCAGGAAATGTATTGCTCATCAGTGCGATGCAAAGTCCTAGAGACGTCCGGAAGGAGCATCCTCCAGTCTGGCTGTGAGGTGGACTGGCTATTTGGATGGTTTGATTCCGTCTCTCGGTCTCCCTGTGGGTTTATGATGTGCTGATCCTCTCACTGCCTGCACTGGCATCGATGCCAGTGGACTGCCACGTTTTCATGCTTCGACTAGCAGGACGTGCTGCGAGGGGCATTGAATGGCCTGAGCTGGGGCGCATTGATGGCAGACACCATACGCACTCGCGCATTCTGAGATTGAAATCCAGGAGGTCCCTTTCCTCAGACAGATAGGATTTTATAGGTCAGGGCATGGCCGCCCTGGCCGCCTTGGCCCTGCTCTCCCTCACTCCGGTCATCGATGTGAGACGGATGAACCGCTCACGTCGCGGTCGGAAGGGTTTCGACCAATCGGTGAAGACGGCCACCGGCCAGGAGAGCATGGCGGACGTAAGGCCAGGAGAAACGAGAGGATCCTGTGCCAATGGGCGGCACATGAGGAAAGAAGTAATAACACTAAACCCAGATGAACAAGTCGGAACTGAAGACACACATTTTATATGCAGCCGGCATGTTCTCATATTTTCTCGAAGCACATTTGCTGGATCACCAGATTCAACGGCAGTACATGTTGGTCGCTTCACTCAGTTTCACTCACCTAGAGCCAGTCGTGCAGATCTATAGTTTTGACTCAAAGCCAAGGTGGCACTGTAGTTTGCACAGGGTTGGCCAAGAGCAGGGGATTTGAGCAAGGTGTCCTGATCAGGTTACATCAACCTTGCACATTTCCCTCCATCCCTCCCTGCCAGGCAAAGTGATCGCCTCCACGACGGAACATGCCGTCGATACCGCAAACAGCGAAGGCTGCAGGCAGGGCTTGTGCGGGCAAATCCCGAATGTTTAAACAAATGGGGCTGGCAAACTTCCAGCAAATCTCAAACAATCGTTACGAGAAACCAGATCAGGCTTTCTTCATGTTTAGTCTTTGGTGCACTGGTTGCACACTAGAGCCGAAGTGTTGGTTACAAGCAGCATACCAATGGGTGAGAGCATGTTTCTTGTGTTTTTACTGACCACGGCAGAGAACCTTCAGTGTTTGGTACGGACGGTCTGCCGGGACATGGGCTGCTGCGGGTCGAAAACGCGGCAGACCGTAAAGGCTGGTGATGTCTTTGCAGCATCACCGTATGATATCTTGCATCAAGCCACTCAGTGAGCGCAGGTGCAGGCCATCCAGATCCTAAAGCAAGCTTATCACAAGCTTTGTTCATGAACCAATTGCAGTGCATTGAAATGCACCACTTTTGCCCACCTGTTCCGAGTTCGCTGCGGCCTCGAATGCCTCTGCCCCGCGCTGAGGCAGTACCCCTCCTGCTCCTTGGAGGTCCGACGTTCTCGTTCACCGCGGAGCCACGGCGGAGCCGCTCCTTGCACTCGCGACCAACCAGGGCGTGGATTTGTGGATGATGTTGCCCTCATAGTTAGGGTCTGTCCTATTCCCTGTAACAGTCAGTATACAATTATCATAGCTTGTTTTAGAAAATAAAGTTATATACTAACCATCATCCACTGTTGCAGGTATTAGGATAGACCCAACTCATAGTAATATGTACATGGTTGATTTATACCCCCACCATGTGGAAAAAAGAAAGGCATTCTGGTAAGTGAAGGTTTGATTAATCAACTGCATTCAATATTGTGCAAATCATGTGGGTGACAGAATTAGTGTTCTCAATGTTGCCCGCAACAATGTTCAAAGAACGCTTTGATGAAAAGGCCGGGAGTTACGTAAAGATGCACCATGCTCGGACACACGCACACACACATGATGAGCGCACGCGAATAGGAAAGACGGGGGTTTGACTATTGGAGGTTGCTGGACACAACTCACAGAACTGCACTTTTCGACAGCAATCACCACACCACCCACATCATCAACTGCCGCAATACACATCACCACATCAGACATCAATGTGCGACCCTTCGTCACCTAACATCTCAGCTTTTCGTCATAGAAGGTCATATTCCTGACTAAATACTCTATAGATCTCTATACTCTATAGACTCTATATACGGAAATGTCTGCCCAACGCCAGCTGTGCGGACCTACCTGGTGTGGAGGCCGTGCATCATTCCACACCTCTCACGAGATGCCATGGTACCTTACTGTACCATCAGTGGCAGTGCTAATTCCGCTTTTGGTTTCAAGTTTCAACCCAGGTCTTTTATGGTTTGGAGTGGCACCTACTTACAGGAGTCTCATTTTTGGATCAACCTCATGGCAGCGGAAGGCGCAGTTCGAACATGTGTTCCAGTGTTCCTTTTGGTTTCGACATGGCGCTATTTAAGGCAAGGCTTGCACGCTCTCTTCAGAAGTCAATTGCACTCCCGAAGACTCACATGGACCCGGGTCGAATGGGACCTGAAAGATGGTTTTTCCTCTACAAACCAGTGGTTTTCAGGGTCCATGTGAGTTTTCCAGGTACCTTGTGTCACTGCCCATGTGATCCCGATTCGATGAACAACGGCAGCTGGTGGTCTTTCCGGTCCCAGACCTTGGACGATCCATGTACCAGCGCTTCCAGGTTCCAGTGCATTCCTGGTGAAACCTCCTCAGCTCCGGGGCACGCCCCATCTTCCAAGGCCCTGCGCCATGCGGGATTTGGAGTGGTTTTCCACCGGGTGGATGGTGATGGACATGGGTTATTTTTCGTTTCAGGAGGGTCAAGAGCCACGCGCAACTTAGATCACGATCGATATCGACTTGAAAGGTGTTAATTCACCAACGTCATGTACATCGTCTCCATGGACTATGGATTTGATGTTTTAGGGGCCCCGACCCCCCACTTGGAGCCCGACTTGAAGCACTGCAGATCTTTGCCTTTTCTTACGGCACAAGCATTTACTGTGCCCATTTAGGTCACCTGCAAGCACCTAGGACATTCTATCATATTCTATAACCTCGCTGTATGTCATTGATCCTCCTTCAACTCCCGTAGTTTTCTGCTGGAAAGGCATTTTGGTGCAACTCCCTGACACGACTGGAGCAGTTCTGAAATATTGCCAGAAGACCACCCGAGACCACCCCGACAAATAGATTGCCCCGTTCGTTTAAATTGGTTCCTGTTGTTGTTTTGATTCGTTGTTTGATGTTGTTTGTATTAATTCCCTGGCATGCCATTGCTGCCATTGTTGCTGTGGTTGTCGTTGTTCCTGCCTGATATCGCCGTTTCGTCCAGTCGTGTGAAGTCTTGGATGGCCAGGAACTGTGAGATTGTTGTGTACAGTGTGGAATTTGTTAAAACAAGAAGCTATTGAACACCATTTGGAAAAATAATCCAAAACACTTTTGAATTCCGCTGAATATTGTTTCAAGATGTGCTGGAAGGTGGAGGAGTAAGTCAAGTTTACAATTGTATTGACAGTATATATATAGTTTATGATTGACACAATTTAGTTTATGATATTATATCATTAATTATTGCATTATGTTTGGAACAATTGGTTTATACATGGTTCGCTCTCTATTATCAACCAACTGAAAATACTTTTCTTTGTTGACAGTAGTTATAATTATTGCATGGTTTCGGAGGCTCGGATAATTTTTATTTTATCATTGACGCGTGGCTTTCTATGGCGATGTGAACATTATAGAATTGTTATATCTATGTACAAAACTTATAACTCAACTGTTTGTTTGGATTGTGTGGGGCCGCCGTTTCCATATTTCTGTAACAGACACGTCATACAAATACCATCATATCCCAGACAATCCACCAAATGCCAGTATCCACTGGAAGGTGACGCAGCAATCTCCAAGCTTTGAAGTGTATTCATCTTGGTTGATGCCCAGGGCCAGGGCCATACCCCGCCTTGTGAGCGTCGAAGGCTGGGACCTGAGAGCGTTTTTTTGGACGGGTGAAACAGCCGGTGACCGATGGGTCAGCGGGCTGGACCGTGGTTCAGATCATAAATGCACCTGCAAGTGAAACAGTGAAATGTTTTGTGACGACGGAGGTTTTGGATGGATAGCTCCCCTTCAAGAATGAAGACCTCTAACAGAAACCTTCCGAGCCTCTAACAGAAACCTTCACATACTGGACCAGGAATCTGACTTGGCATCTCGTGCTTGGCTCATTTAGACGACCAGCCCCTGTTGACAGAGCCGCACTCTAAGACCTGGCCGTTGCATTGCCCGCTGCATTGGCCACCGATAAAGTGGCGAGGACATGGCTGCCGGGTGGGGGATGTGATGTGATCAAGTCTAAGTTGGGAGCCACGTGAAATTGAGCTCATTAGCCATAGCGAGAGAGAGAGAGAGAGATCATCAAATTGCTGATTCTACTTGAAGTGGGTTTTGGGAGAGGTCATTGGTTGGGAGTTTTGCAATCCTTAGCTGTGAAGACTCTTCTCACCTCCTCAGTGTCCACTGAAGTGAACCTAGTTGGCAGATGCACGATTCATCCACCCAAGATCAACTCCTGTCCAAGATCCCTCAGGACCATTCCAAGCTTCAACTGGCTCAAGGCTTGGGCGAACGGTTCTCATTTGGATGGAGTTTTCTGACCAGAGAGAATCACATGCGACAGGGAAAGGTCAAATGGATCAGGTCCCTAAGAAGACATTCAATGGATCACCCTCCTGGAGTCAGGTCGAAGACCTGACTCCGGGAGGTGGCTTAAAAAACGTTCAGCCAAGCCAAGGAGCCCCGAAGGTCTAGGGAATGCGTTGCCATTGAATGATGTTGGGAAACCACTAGTGTGTGCGTGTGTGTTAATAAAACTATAAAACTATAGTGATAATAGGGCGATCTCCCGGTTCGACCCCATGGAAGCTTCGGGGAAATAGACCAACTTTGTAAACAACAGAGGCTTTCTATGAAGAGTCCCTGGGGCACAACAACAGCAACAACAACAACAACCTGAAGTCAAGCCTCCAAGGCTAGAAGTAGAAGGCCTTGTGGAACCCAGACCAGAAGTACGGATTGGCCATCAGGTTGTTCAACATTTGTAGGCCAAGTCTGTAGGCAGTTTGCCAGTTCAAGTCTGGAAAAGAAGGTCTTGTGCCAAGAGTTGGCTCTCGAAAGCAGAGGGACTTGACGATGCTGGGGTACGGCTGGAAGATCTGAACCGGTGAATCGGCCCAGTGGCGGAGAAGAACGTGGCGGACCAGTTGGCCTTAGGAAATACATCCGTTGACCCTGCGCCAAGATATTGTGAGGTCGCAGCTCTCTTGGTGATTCAGCTCGGCTTTTTTCCGCGCGTGTGCTTCTCAGTCTGCGTGATTTCGCGATGTTCTCCTCGTCCATGTTCCATGAAGTGGCCACAGGAAACATCCAAACCAAATGAAATGGCCACACAAACCTTCCGGATGCTTCAGGCTTCCGGTTCTGCTTCCGGCTTATGCCACACGTCCAGCCCGCTGTGAAGAGTTCACACCGCTTGCTCATCCGACTCAATTGGGGCCTGCCCCAGGGAGTATAGTATACCCTTTGACTACCTGTTGGTAGAGAACCATGGAAGCTGAGCAGGCTCTCCTTGTAGAGGAAGTTCCACTTTCATGATTGTTTCAGGGGGTGTAGAGCACTCGATATGGCTCAGGTTGCCCCGCTTATTTGGATGTTTGCCCCAGTTTCTTGCAGCTGCATGAACTGCCCAAATTCAACCAGTATTGGAAGAGCAGAGAGCTCGTTTCTTTTTTCCCCCTTGCTGCACGCATTGTGGTCAAAGCCATGCGTCACAAAGACTACACTGTCCCTGGGAACACAGCCACTGAGGCAGCGAAGCTCACGTGACCACCTTGGTGAGAATGTGTGAGAAAGTGCAAGGTCTTTGGGCTGCTAGAAAGGTAGAGGGCCCATGTGTATATATTTTGTCAACATAGGAATTAGCAGCACCTAGGAATGTAGTGTAGCGAATGAGTAGGGATGCGATGTTATATCATAGTTAGTTAGCTAGTTAGTTTCTCGTTTGTCTCTAGTGTTTTGCTATCAAGCCTTGCCCACCCTCCCCTGGGGGGAGGGGGTGTAGGGACATGCCTGGAAAATGGCATGGGAGAAAGTCCCTCGAAGGTCCCACGAAGGGGACCTATATAGAGGGCGAGGTTTACGATGATGGAGGCGACCCACAAGGCACAGTGGTCTTGTGGGTGAAGCGCCTGTTCGCCCCGGGAGAGACCGGGAGGACTTTGCATGGGGACGTGGTGACTGCTACCGATCCATATTACAGATGGTGGCTTGCGAGTCCAGACGGGGCAGTCACCACGGTGGACGGAGCATATCATATATGCAAAGGTCCTCCCGCCGAATGTAAGGGCGGAACAGGAGAACATGTGGTCCACTTAGGCAAGTGGCGACAGTGCAAGGAAGAAGAGCTCGTTGACAACACCGGAGGGATCCTAGATGAGGATACGCATGGACATGTGCAGGCATATTTCAAAAGAGTCCCAAAGGAAGGGCCAGGCGCTGGAGGAGCTGGTGATTTGCCCTGGGATGACCCAGGTGATGATGAAGAGGATGGAGAGGAAGAGAAAGGGAAGAGCGCGCCAGGGCCGTCCGGGAAGGAAAAGGCTGCAATGAAGAGAACGACAGAGAGGAAAGGGTCGGAAGAAGAATTGGTGAAGAAAAAGAAAAGGCTGACAGAGTTGGCCAGAGACCTCAAAGCCCTGAAGGCGGAGGTGAAAGCAGCTGAAGTCACCGAGGAAGAGAAGAAAGGTGCAGGCAAGAAGGAGAAGAAGGGACGGAAAAGAACGAAGAGTGGAAAGGGAAGCCCTCCCTTTTCAGGTGAGATGCGAGGAAGCGCGCTTAGGTGAAGACTAGCCCGGAACCCGGTGGATCGTCTTCGGAGCCGGATTCCGATGAGGGCTCATCCTCTGACAAGAGTTCAGGGCGCAACCAAAAGCGAACTTCAAGAAGCAGGGGAAAGAAGAAGCAGAGGAGCAAAGGACGGAGTTCTCCTTCAGATCCCTCCAGGTCACGGAGCCGAAGGAGGCAAAGCCACAAGAAAAAGAAGAGAGGCAAAAAGAAGAACAAAAGGCCGAAAGACAGAGGGCCCTTTGGAGTGGCCGAATCAGATGAAGATCCCGACAGATCGGAAGCCGAGGATGATTCGGAATCGGATTTTCAAAAGGCCCCCGCGGGGATGACGCTGTTTCTGAAGTTGCAGCGTTACGCTCAGCGGCACCCCGGCCGGCTCGCGGCCCGTCTCCTCCATACCATGGGGGTAGCGGGGCGCGTCCCCGTGGGGGCCTTGCGACAAAAGGGGAAGAGCATTCTCAAAAACATCGAGGCAAACGCAGTGTCCTACTACAACGTGGCCTTGGTCCCGAACCTGAAGGCGAAATGGACTCCACGATCCGGGAGAGAATTGAAGTACCTCACAATTCTCCTGGACCTACTGGTCGAGAACAAGTCAGCGCAGGCTGCCGACATCATTGCCCAGAGGATCAAGGCTCTGGTGAAAAGCGTGCAAGACAACAACAGTTGGGTGAGGGCACGCTTCCTCGAGCTGGTGGAGCCAGACGACGTAGCCCTTCTGGACAGGGGGGAGGAGGCAATGATCCAGAAGGAATTGGAGCGGGAGGAAAAGCTCCGAGGACCATCCGAATGGAAAGGAAAAGGCCATTGGAAGGGCAAAGGGGAGCACGAATTCGGAGCCAAGGGCCAAGGCAAGGGGAAAGGAAAGAGCAAGGAGAAGGGAAAGGGGAAGACGCCGGCCGAGGACGCTGCCGAGAGGAAGTAGATGGTGGCGCCTTGGCAAACCGAATCCCAGCGGAACCCAGTGAACCCCCAGACCCCAGAGGGGAGCTTCAGCGGAAGCGAAAGTCCGAAAAGGATGTTGAGTCGCCCGAAGGTGAAGTGGCATCTTCGGAGGAATATGAAATTGAAGAGGAGGCCTTGAACAGGTTGTGGAAGAAGCATAGACAAAAGTTTGAAAGAAAAATGGCAGGGTTTCTTGCAGAGGAACGGGATGCATTGGAAGTGGCCTGGCATGTGCTGGAAAATGCTGGGCATCTCAGGACAAAGTTTGGCAGGTTTCGGACGACTTTGGGTCAAAAGGCCACAGCCCAAGATGCCCCTGAGGGCCCCGATCTCCTGCCTATCTCGTTAGATGCCCTAGAGCTACGCCGGGACATTCAGTCGGAAGTTCGGGCGTGGGTCATATTGATGGCTTGGGCATTGAACTTCTTGTACTGCACAGGCTGGGAGCAACCACGCCACATGGATCATCCCGGGAAGCTGACTACGGCGCAAACCAAGATGGTTGATCAGCACTTGGTGCCCGCGGTGAGGCGCATGTGCCCGAAGGGATTGAAGATCCCATCTTATCAGAAACTAAAGGAGCAGCTTCAGAAGAAAGGCTACGGTTATGATGGATCTAGTTGGGTGGTGATGGAAGACCTTGCAGCCGACAAAGTGATTCCATGTTGGCCAAACAAGGGGGAAGCTGCCGTTCAGCCCATCACCAAATTTTTACATGGTGACACAAAGGAGATGGTAAACAAACCACTGCTCACCATCCTTCCGGCGGAAGAATGGCCAGAGACGGTACCCCAGTCGTATGTGCGGGCCTCGGATGCCGAGTGGGAGAGGCTCGTGGCAGAGGGGTATCAGCTAGGTCTTTTTCAGCCTTGCCCGGAGGAAGAGATCTTGAGAAGCCCCTCCGGTGAAATGATCCTGAATGGGGCCGGAGCAGTCCCAAAAGAGAAGAATGGCAAGATCTTGCAAAGATTTATATCTATTTTATGTCCATTGAATGCGGTGAGCCGCAAAATTGAAGGAGATGAGTCGACCTTGCCCTATGTGGGCCAGGTGGGGCTTTGTGAATTGGAGGCCGAAGGAGCCATAGTTATAGACAGTGAAGATTTGCAGTCGGCCTTCAATTTGTTTGAGATGCCACGGGGATGGCGTGGCATGTTCGTGTACCGCAAGCAGGTGAGAGGAGGAGTCCTTGGCTTGCCTCACGATGAGATGACATGGGTGTCGCTGAGGACGGTGCCTATGGGATGGCTCTCCGCAGTGGGGATTGTTCAACAAGCCATCAGGACTCTCGCGTTTGAGGAAGCTGGACTCCCCAGACAGTTTGAAATTCAAAAGAACAAGGAGCTCCCTGAGGGAGAACGCTTCTTACTTTACTTGGACTCGGTGGATCAGTTGAGGCCGGTCAGCCAAGCAATGAGAAAGGTAGTGGAAGGACAGGCGAGCCCTGAGCACCAGCGTTTTGAAGAGGCATGCCGGCGGTGCGGATTGCCTACCAATATGAGCAAGCGTTTGGCGGGGGCCCTAAGAGGAACCCTACAGGGGGGACTCCTTGATGGAGAAGCAGGGGTGTTCATGCTGCACCCGGACAAAGGGGCCTTTATAATCGGAGCTTGCATGTGCCTGCTGGGATCCCGGACATGGGAAACTAGAGTGGTGGCAGGGCTCACAGGGCGATTGGTTTTCGCCGGTGCATTTCGAAGGCCAGCCATGTCACTGATGAGCGAGGTGTTCCATTACTTCGGCAGCAAGCCTACATCCAAAGTGGCAAAAGATGATGCCTACGATGAGGTCTTGCTGGCGATGGCCTTGCTGCCCTTGAGTTTCACAAACCTCAAGGCCTCAATCTGTGGAAGAATCTATGCCACTGACGCCAGTCCAATGGGGGCCGGGTCGTGCGTAGCCGAGCGCTTCAAGCGCCCGTTTGGGACCACAAGCCCAAATGACCTGGTGTGTGGGGTGTGCCGGACAGAGCTCACGGATGAGACAGCCCGTGGAGAAGACTTGGCCTGCCCCGCGATGTGCGGGTGCAAACTTTGCTCTTTGGAGTGCTGCTTGAGGCACGCGCCTTATTGCCCGCATCAAGCGGTAGGAGTTCCATTGTTTTCGGAGAGGTACAGTGGTCCAGAGGCCAGATTGTCGAGAACCATGTTTAAGGCTGGATTCAGAGTGGTTGACCCCATAGATTACAAGTGGGACAGCACTATGGATGTATTCACGGAGAGAGGAAAAGAATGGTGGGCCCATGCCGATGCATCAGACCCAACCCTTGAGCATCACGCTCCGGACAGCAAAACCTTTTCAAGGGCGCGGGGTAGGCCTTATCAGTTTGCCGGAAAATGGTATGAGGGGCCAGTGGCACTGAGGGATGAAAGCCACGTGATGGGGTTCACTTACCTAGCAGCGCATGAGGCAGCAGCGGTGAGGAAAGGAAACAAGATGGCAATGAGATCCATCGCGAGGTGCAGGACCCTCCACGAAGAAGGTCGCTTCTTCACCTTGGATCACCCCCGGCGCTCTTGGATGTGGTATACCAAGCCAGCCATAGACCTGGCAGGTCTTCCAGGAGTGAGGATGGCGATCTTCTCCCATTGCTGTTATGGGGGAAGGCGCAAAAAGTGGACGAGCTTACTGACCAACAGCGAGACCATCTACCAAGCCCTTCACAAGCCTGTTTGCCCCCACGGAGATGGGGAGGATTACCCGCCGTACTGGGATCAGCAGCTTGGCCAGGTGGTGTTCCCAATGGAGCAAGAAGCAACATACCCCTGGGGTTTGTGTGAGGAGTACGCCAAAGCAGCCGTCAACCTCATGAACCTGAGTGAGCACAGGGAAAAAGCCCTTGCCGAAGTACGCAAGGTGAAGATCAGAGAAGACCTCATGAAATATGACCGGCTGCAAAGTCCGGGCTTGCAGGAAAAGGTGGTCAGTGGCATCTTGCATATGGAGAGGACCATGCAAATTGGGTTCGAAAAAGCTCATCTACAGCAACTTCTTCGCCTGGGTCACTATCGTGGCACAGATGTCAGGTTGGCCGTCGAGGAACAGGGAGGACGGCAACTGTTTCCGTACCCAGCCTATAGATGGCTGTGGCGTGACGTGCTGTCATTCAGATGGCGACAGGAAGGGCATATCAATGAGTTGGAATTTCAGGCCTTTTTGGCCCACATTCGCCGAGTGCTGCGGGAGCCTGACATGCGCCACAAAAGGGTGTTTGTGGTCGTGGACAGTCAGGTACTCTACTATGCGCTCGGCAAAGGGCGCTCTCCATCCACTAGACTCAATCGAGTCCTGCGACGTTTGGCGGCTATATCCCTGGCAGGCGACCTGTATACTTTACCGATTTGGACTCTGTCAGCATGGAACTTTGCTGACAGACCTTCCAGACGGTGAGGTGATGCCTAAGGCCCCACAGACACTTCGCTATGCCGGGTTAGCCAAAAAGACAGTTGCAGCCTATCGTCGCGCCCTATCAGCTTTCTTTTCGTATCTTGAAGATGAAGAGATTGAAATGCCCTCAAAGTTTCACCACCTTGATCGCTTGATTGCCCAATATCTGGAGTCCCTATACTTGGACGATACCCCAATTCTTACGCAGGGCATTTGTTGAGTGCCTTCCGCCGCTTTGTGCCCCAGTCGCGGTTCAAGATCCCTATTGCCAAACAATGGTTCTCAAACTGGACCTCTGAACACGTGCCCAGGCAGGCAATTCCCATGCCAGCCAATGTGGTATTAGCCCTTGCCGGGGCAGCGCTTGAGGTGCGGGAGCATGCGCTTGCCGCTTTGTTGCTTGTTGGGTACAAAGCCCTCCTGCGAACCAGTGAGATGACCTCGCTTAGGTTTGATCATGTCAGCTGGAAACCAGGGGAGCCCAATGTGGTTATCGCAATTCCGTTTTCGAAGACTTCGCCCAAGCGCCCTCAGAGTATCTTGATTCGTGACCCTTGGCTACCTTTTTTACTTAGCTTCGCCTGGGAGCGCTCTGAATCTGCTTTCATGTGGGATGGTTCGACCCCGGCCTTCCGTCAGGCCCTCCGTTTGCTTTTAGATACTCTAAACCTAGCCTCGGTTGGCTTTACTGCTTACAGCATCAGGCGTGGAGGAGCCTCTCACGCATTTGCCCAGGGAGTTTCTTTCGACTCTCTGGTTGAATTGGGGCGGTGGAACAGCGTCAAGACCGCCCGTTTATACTTGGATTCGGGCCGAGCAGCACTTATTCAAATGCACTTTCCACCTCACGTTAACATGCAGCTAGCTACTTTTGTGGCAAAGGCCACTGTTTTTTGCAAGCAACTTCGTCAGGGGCGCAGGCTCAAAATGGTCTTGTGAGTGCCCGCTAAATTGGGTGTGCCAGCAAGGGGAGGTTAGGTGGTTGGGCGATGCCCTTACCAGGCTCCA